TTTACAGGTTCTTGCGGTTGATCCCTCGCGTGGGCATGCAACTTGGAAGACACATTCTCAATGAGGGCATCTCTGTAATGTCTTTTTCGTTTCTGCAAAAAATCAACACAACAAAAAGATTGATTCAGTTTGCCATTATATATATCGAAGAGAATCTGCGAGATAAATCAGCAGTGAATTCACCTGTGCATTAGCACCCAAAAGGCCATTCAAGATACACCGTTTCACCAATTTGTGGAAATCATCATAATCACTAGTAGCAACCATAGATTTGTTGCAAGTAAGGACTGTCAACGCATTCGACAACTTTCTCGTCGAGATAGACGAAAACCGCGTCACCATGGCCTGAAAACAAACATACAAAGAGCAACCTAAACGATAAGAGAGAGCATCAACTACACTTTCCAACATAAGTTCAGACTACAATCATATAAATAAGAACAATCATTAAGTTGTGTTCTTGATTGTAATCGACAATTCAAGATCGAAAAAAGGAACGATTTTTCGATTCCAAAACATATCAATCAAACCTCTTTGGCGGTTTCAGTTGAATTGAGGACAATAAGAGAGGAAGAACCCATCTTTATAGAGTAAATAGGACCATAAATCTCTGACCATCTAGTGAAAGTCTTGTGAGGTTTCTTCTCTTTTAGTTGCAGCAAATTCCCAATAACCGGAAACCCTGGTACCACTGCATCAAAACCCCAACTTTAAAATTCTCAAAGATCCAATTTTTAGTTCCCCAAATCACTAAAATCAAAGAAAGTTTTAAACTTTGACCAAACCCATGAATCGCAAGACCTAGATACTCTCAAATAGGGAAAAAGAAACAAACCTGGAACAGAGGGGAGAGAAGAAACTTCAGACATGTTCTTTTTGGTGAAGGAGAGTAGTTTCTTGAAGAAGATGATGAAGATGAAGGAAGAGAGAACAAAGCCAAGGAGAATGGAGAAGAAGGCCATGGAAGGAGAGTGTGATTGGTGTGTTGCTGTGAGTTAAGAGAAGAAACTGAAGTGATGATGCATTCATTGTGTGTATAAAGTGAAGAGAAAGGAAAGTTTGGATTTTTCCTCTTATTGGCATTTGGCAAGTTTTTGATTTTGGTGTTTGGATTTTACCTAATTTGGGATTTCAAAGAGACATGATGAATGCATCCGTTCTATGAGAGATTCTCTTTGTGGCACCATTTTTCATGTTATCTTTTTATTATTTTATTTATATTTTGTGACACGACATGTTTTTCTCTAAACTGGCCGTTTCATCTTTCATTGTAACTGATTTTGAGTCAAAATATACCGTTATAACCTATTGTTTTGTTATAACCTATTGTCGTGAGATATGTCTCCTTGAATTATATCTCTTTGCCTCATCTTATTAGTCTTTTGCTTCTCTTGTTTGGGCTTAGTTTATGGGGAAATCTTGTCTTCTGCCGGCTTAAGAGTTTGTTCCAACATGTATTTCACCTTGTATCTTTCTTTGATGATTATAATGAAACTAGATGACAAAAAAAAAAAAAACCTATTGTTTTGTTTGATTTAAATGTATATATATATATTATATCGCGGTACACCTCAGATCAATTTTTTATAACTAAAATTTTTAAATTTTAAGTCGTATTTGTTTTGTGAATATTATTTGTTTTGTTTTTTTTTTTTGTCAAACATTTTGTTTAGTGTTTAAAATTATATAATTGTATTTGATTGTTAACTATGTTACTGAATTATATATGTTCTACGGGTCAAACTTAAAAACATCAAAAATTTATATCATCTAATTTGAATACTATTTTTAAAAAAAATTTAAACATTGTTAATTAAAGAAATAAAATATGACCATGCGGTGTACCGCGGGTTAAATCCTAGTAGATTAATATTTAAGACACTCATAAATGATTTAGGGATGAAGATGGTCGAAGGTGGACAAATTTAATTCAAATACATACGATCTAATTTTTGTATTGTTCATCAGATATGATCAAAGTGTATATACAATATTTTACTTATAAAACAAAAATAAAATAACATGTAATTACTGTTTCAACGTATAAGAATCAAAGAGGTTACAAAGACATTAGTTTCATGAATTTGTGTATCTCCTCCGTACTAATCTTTTATGTTTTAATTTTATCACTCTCAACCAAAAAGTAAAATACGCGCTGTTATGCAAACATATGTAAATGTAGTAGCCATTTGAATCAGAATGTTTCTAGTGTTTTGAAAATGTAGTTGTTTTGTGTGTTTGTTAATGTGAGGAGATGTAAAGCTAGAGTATATATATAGGCGAGATTAGGTCAATAATCTTTTGGTAGCCAAGGAAAATTTATTTGCAACTTCAACTAAATTATAATCAAATCTTTTTAATCGGATTTTTTATAGGAATATGCAACTAATCCGTTTTTAATACAATCTAATAGTTTCTATTGTCGAGATAATGAATTCAATATTTTGTCAAGATTTTATGGAAAATAATTGAACATTGAAATTCAGTTCAAAATCTTTACTTAAATAGAGAATATATGATAATTGTCGAGATATTAGGGAATATTTTTGCGAGATTTTTGACAACTATTTAAGTAATGAATCGAAATTAAAAATCTTTACTTAAATAAAACAAATCTAAACAATTAATGTCAATGGCATTCCTCCGTAAATACTTTCAAACTCCATTATTTATTTTATAAATGTACTCCGAAAATGTAAATATACTAGATTTTAACCCGCGGTACACCGCGGGACTATAATTTTTTTGAAAATTATCTATTATTTTGTTTGATTTAAATGTATTTATTATATATATATATATATATATATATATATTACCCCGCATTAAACCCGCGGATCAATTTTTGATAACTAAAAAATTGAAATTTTAAGTTGAATTTATTTTGTTAATATTGTTTGTTTTGTTTAGCATTTATTGTATTTTGATAGTTAATTCTACGATTTCACTCGTAGTACCGCCTCATATTAATATTGATTCAAACTCGTCCTACCATATAATCATGTCCCGTGAAATTAAACATTATTTTGTTATTAATTTTTATAATATTTTAATTTAAAAAACATATATAATTTGAGTCAATTTATAAGTTTGCTTTAAATGGCTCCCATAATATATATATTTTTAAATTTTTATAGAGTTCAAATATCATTAATATAATAAACTTTTATAAAATTTAAATATTATAAATACTTTAAACGCTTTATCATCTTAAAATATTTAAAAATTTTAAACTTCTTATAAATTTTTATAAAGTTTAAATATTTATAATATTTGAAACTTCATAAAAGTTCTAATATCGACCCAAACTTCATAATTGTATTTTGGTTGTTAATTCTAAGATTTCACTCGTAGTATATAGTTCCGTATTAATATCGATACAAACCCGTCACACCATATAATCCCGTCCCGTGAAATTAAACATCATGTTATTATTCTTTTTAATAATAATTTTATTTAGAAGACATATAATTCGAGTAAATTTAAAAGTTTGTTTTTAAATTGTCTCTATAGTATATATATTTATAATTTTTATAGAGTTCAAATGTTATTAATATATAAACTTTTTTATAGAATTGAAATATTATAGATACTTTAAAAGTTTTATAAAATTTAAATATTTAAATTTGTTATAATATTTAAATTTCTTATAATATTTAAACTTATAATATTTAAATTTCTTATAAGTTTAAAATTAATAATATTTAAAATTATTATAAATTTAAAATATTCATAATATTTGAAACCTTATGAAATAATAATAATCTAAAATAACATATTATTCCATAGACATAAATAATAGTTATATATTTGGTAATAATGTTTTTTTGGAGTTAATCTAATTTATAACTAAACAAATTATTTATAGCCAAAATGAGTTTGGTTTATAATAAGTAATATAGCAAAATGAGTTTGTCAAATAACGAATAATAACCATAATTTAATTAATGTACATTAAAATAAATATATTTAAAAAATGAATTACTTAAAAAAATTGGTTTGTCAAAATTAATTAATATCTTTACGATATTATGGAAAGGATTAGTTATGGTTAAGATATTATGTTAAGATTTTTTTGGTAATTAATATATTTGATTTAAATTTTTGAAATTAAATAATTAATGCCAGTGGCATTGCTTCGTAAATACTTTCAAACTCCAGGATTTATTTGCTAAGTGTACTTCAAAAATGTATATATATATATAGATATATATATATATATATATATTATTTATTAAGCTAAAATATATTTATAACTATAAAAATATTTCTTGTATATAAAAGAAATGTTCCTAACTTCTTAAAATAATTTTTTTTATAATACTAAAATTTTTAGTTTATAAATAAATTATATATTACATGTATTTTTGGTAAATTTTATATTAAACCTAGAGCCGGTTTAAGGGGTTTTCAGCTAATTTTTACATTAAATATAAGGTCTACTTTTTATAAAAAACAAATTAAGTTAAGGGTCCCAAATAATAATATTTATCCATATTAATGTAGAAAATTTTGACTTATTAGTTAACGGTTGTAATTTCTTTCTTATTTTTGAATAAACATTGCGGGAGACAATTGTCTCACGTTTCCGACGAAAACAAAAAAAAAAACTAAATGTTTTTATTCGTTAACAGCCCACGATTTACTTGAATCGGCCCTGGTTAAGCTGGTATCTTAACCGTTGTTAACAAGTCATAAATTTTTTGCAAACGCACATATTTCTAACCGTTATAGCAATTGTATTAAGTGCTTAATAACACTTAAAACCTCTCTGCTGTGTTTAAATTCATTTAGGCCTTTAAATGGTTGGTTTCATCAGTTTTCTAATATCAAACTTAGAAAGAAAAAACTATTCTTCGTTTCTTACTTTATAACCGGTTCGAATTTAGTTTTGATTTTTTCGTATATAAAATTTTATTATAAATGTTGTTTGATATTAGATTTAGTGAATCAACATAAGTGCTTACACTATTTTTATTTTTTTTAATAACAGGAGATTCTAGACCAAAACCTGTAATATTACAGCATGTAATATTAGTTTCGTTCCAAGCGTCAGTCGAACCGGCGACCTGTAAGCTTCGCTTAGGATCTTCACCAGTTGAGCTAACGACACTTGGTTATACAGACTATTTTTATACACATGATAACATAATAACCCCGAATTACTTAAACGAACATGTATTTACAGAAGAAAAAAACCACAGCAAGCAAAAACCTAGAACATAAGTTGGAAAAGAACATCTAAGTAAAAAAGAAAGCCAGTAAATCAAGCCAAACCCCATTAATTTCCACAAAAATTACATTAAAAACATATCATCGAACTGATGATTTTTTGCGAACCTCACTCTATTCCTTGCCATGTTTTCTAGCTGTGAAAAAAACAACAAATTCTTTTTAATATAATTTAATTTCATATATATGGTTAAGTAAGAAAGGTAAATCTTACGTGAGAGCGAGGAGGCGTTGGAGGTTTTTAAAACGTGCAACCTCTTCACGGTCGATACAAACATCCTAACAAATAAAGTAAACTATATCATTAATTTGTCCAAAAATTCATATAAATATCCAAGAACATGCCCTTTTCAGAAAAAAAGGAATGATATGATGAGAAATGGCCAAACTCTTTCTAGGAACTCATATCGAAAGCAATTGTTAAAATTATTCGAAAATAAAAATTAAGTCACTATTAAATTAGTTATGTTTGATATAAACTTACTCCCAAGGAACATCTCCGACCAGAACTTTATCTCCTTCAGTGTCTTCGTAGACCAAAGTGTATTGTCTGTTTAGATCCCACGAATCTTTCTTAGAAAAGAGTTGGTCAACGGCATGTGAAAGCTGTTGGTAGTTGTTATAAGCTGAAAGGTTGACTTTTCTTCCTATGGGAACTCCTTCCATGTTGATCTTAACGTACAACTCTTTCTCTTCATCACTCTCTCTCTTCTTCATCTCCTCCTTTAGCTGCGCCGTTAGGTTTCGCCGGGATGATCTTACCGGCGGCCATCCCACCACTGGAGCTACCTCAACCCTGTTTTAGCCATATCTAGTTATAAACTTAAACACAAATACTTTTTGATAACTAGAGAAATCTTGGACCGAAACCTAGACTAATGTCCCAAAACCGTAGAATAACCGGGATTTTTATATCATATTAGACATCTATAGTGAACAAGAATGATTCAAATCAAAAATCAATCATGAGAAGAGATTAAGAGAACCTGTTATTGGAAACGAATGATGTATCTTTGGTAGAGCTTTTTTGCTTAGATCCATTGATGTTATTGTTGGAAGTGAATTG